AGGTGATGTCGTGATTACGTATGTTTACCCTGCTAGGAAAACGGTATGTGTAAATATATACCATCGAGGATGTTATTTACAATTATCTAATTGTATGTTTGTACGACTCAAAATGTGTATCCAGTATTGTTTTACGCGGATGTTCGCGAATATCAGGCAAGGGGGGAATGGTTCGGCGCGGCGCCAGCCCGATTTCTACCAATGGTTATAGCTCGTCCGCTTCCGCAGTTGGTGGGGAACAGGCCATCAAATCCAACCCTGCCATGCTCTATCGTCAACAGAGAAGAATAGTACTGGCGTCTTTGTGTCCCTTTGCAAATGAAAAGACAGAAACCGCGCAGTAGCCAACCAGTTTACCCGAGTTCCTACATTCTTTCCCACCAAACCCTTCACTTGCAATGCTCATAATCCAGAAGTTTCAGGTTCCTCTACCAGCATTGCTCAACGTACTGTTTACAAACGAGCCGCGACTATCATTAGCAGGGCCAGTCTTCTTTGGTTCATGTATCAAACTGGTCGCGCTCACTTGGGGACTGGTAAAATTCACGAAGCTACGGTTCTTTTGGCCGTGCCTTCCGCTGAATCCAAAGCACAACTACAGGTACGTGCAACTGACATTACTTAAACTTTTCCTCAATTTCTCCGAATTTCAGAATAATAAGACGTTAGATGTACCTAAGGTACCTTTTAGCGATAGGGCCTGTGAGAGGGCGTGAAACTGATCGAAACCAGAACAACCTTCTAGCAATTGTCGCAAACTCATGGATGGGAGACGAGCAGGAGAATCGTAAGGCACCACGTACGTTGCGCCTAAGGCATTAGAAATCCGACAACCTGTCCTCTGCGGCGGCTAGGTCGCGGCCACGCCCACAGCGATTCCCCGAACCGCACCTTACAATGCCCCTGCTACACACCCCTCACGGAGGCATCTCTGATGAAAACGTCGCTTCGACACCGCTCCAATCCACGCCCGTCACACGCGCTATCGTTTCGACGGATTATGATTATACGCACACGTAAGGCTGCGTTTATACTTTGCGGCAGCGTAGCGTAGCGCTTCCAGCGTACGCCAGCGGCAGTGCCGGGGAGAGGATGCATATCGATCTAGCGTTCCCAGCGTCACCAGCGTCACGCTAGCGTACGCTAGCGTTACGCCAGCGTTTCTCCAGCGTTTCACCAGCGTTTTGCTAGCGTTTGCAGCGGCAGGGGAGTAGAGACTATGGGAGAGCTGGAGGGTACAAAACACATCGATTGCGCGTCTCTCACTCGCCCTCAGTCTCTACAATACACATCGATTCCGCGTCTCTGACGGCCACATAGTCTCTACTCCCTGCCGCTGCAAACGCTAGCAAAACGCTGGTGAAACGCTGGAGAAACGCTGGTGACGCTGGGAACGCTAGATCGATATGCATCCTCTCCCCGGCACTGCCGCTGGCGTACGCTGGAAGCGCTACGCTACGCTGCCGCAAAGTATAAACGCAGCCTAAATGTTGGGCAGAAATTGCAAAACAAAGTAGTAATGCGCCAGTGCCTTTTCATCTTCTAGTTTTCGCTCTTGTGTAGGGGAGGTGTCAAGACTCTCAACACCCGAGTAAACATGCTCTCTTAGTATTGGATTAAGAACTGATGCCGTGGATTAGTATTGGATTAAGAACTCCTCATCTCCGTGTTGAGGAAATCGTGTTTAGGGTTCCCTCCAGAGAAGCTTCCGTTTGCCTGGGCTCCCGCGGTGCCCCGCTCATAAGTTTTGCCTCTCCTCGAATTCTATGAATTCTCAGCTCCAATCGACAAACTGATGCTAATCGAGAATTGGCCGCGCAGTCCGCACAACGCGCCGGGTGCGATAGTCCAACAAATTACGTTTGTCTTGTCCAACTACCGCAAAGAACGAACCGTTTTCCTTTTTAGTTACTTGCACAGTCGAAGCCCTCCAATCTTGTGAGGGCTTGTAAAATTCACTTGAGGGCTTGAAGATAAACCACTTCCAAAGTATTAGGTTGGCGGGAAAGTTCTGTCATACTTTTTTGAACCCAAGTATTCGCCTATTACCTGAAGAGGGCTAACCGGTAATGTGAGCATTTATACATTAAAGACACATGGTACGCTCAAACACATTGAGGGTGTATGAGACTATCAGCCCCCCAGCTGTCGATGTGTCGTGGTCCCCCGCCCAAAACTGCACGGGGTCAGAGTACGGGGCCGTGGGAAAGTCGTAATTCCTTGCTACACCGCCCTCACGTTTATGCTAACACCATCCATCCTCTTACAGGACTTGGCAAAAAGCCAAGTCCTGTAATTGCGCTTTGGAATACAAGTACAACGCAATTTCTTTATGCGGATAACATTTTAGGTGCTGCAAAATAAGAACCGAAGATGATGACGAGGGCTAGAACTCAAGAGCAACTGTGGTGCTTCTGCAATATCCCTCAGAGGCCGCGCATTCCCACAGAACATGACAATAAAAACGGACAACATGACAATAAAACATGACAATACAAGCAAAACGCAATTTCCTAACATTTGAGGTATTGCTCATGCTTCAAAGTCCGAAGGTGATGAAGATGACAAAGGCTAGAAATGAAGAACAACGAATGTAGATGTAAATAAAACAAAATTGAAAAAACTAAGGAAACGCAATAAATTAAAATCGCGTGTGCATTTCTGCGATCCGGCTCGAATCCGGCTCTAAAGCTATAGAAATACTTCAAACTAACGAGTGGGACGCTTAGGCCGTTTTTATTTTGATGTTTTGTGGGAATGCGCGGCCTGCGAGGGCTGTTGCAGAAGCAGCACAGTTGCTCTTGAGTTCTAGCCCTCGTCATCATCTTCGGTTCTTATTTTGCAGCACCTAAAATGTTATCCGCATAAAGAAATTGCGTTGTACTTGTATTCCAAAGCGCAATTACAGGACTTGGCAAAAAGCCAAGAGAGCTGCACGCGACCGCGCCGCGCGGACGGTGTTAGTAAAAACGTGAGTTTGCGGGCGGTGTAGCAAGGAATTACGACTTTCCCACGGCCCCGTACTCTGACCCCGTGCAGTTTTGGGCGGGGACCACGACACATCGACAGCTGGGGGGCTGATAGTCTCATACACCCTCAATGTGTTTGAGCGTACCATGTGTCTTTAAGGATTGATCTTTCTATTAGTGTCACTGGCTCGGCTCCTGCTCATCCTTATTCTGCATTATGGACAAGAATGTTATCCGCTACCTTCAGCACCGACCCCTTCAAGCGCTTCCTTAAACTATTTCTTCTACCACCCTGGCGCCAGCATGGCAGCTGTCGACGCCGAAATAATGGAGCTGCACAAGGACAATGTCTACAGTCATCAGACAATCTTCCACGACGCTAGCTCTTCAGAGCGGGAGCCTACGGTTCGAATGACGAAGTGAGGTTCGGGAGTACCTGTAAACTCAGCTCTAGATAGCGGTGGGTCGGGAAACTACTGGATGAAGAAGCTGCCTCCTCGGTCAATCCGTACGCAAGACAGCGATCTGAAGCGAATCGCCGACCCACCGCTCGAAGCAGAGGGCAAAATCCATCGGCACAGTCCGTCTTCAACGTGCTGGTGCAGCACACCCCGTCAAAAAAGTTCGAGCCGTACTTCATGCAATAGAGCTGGATGGCTCTCCCCTTGCACCGGTGTAGTCCAGACATTGCTCTTTCTGACTGCTAGTCGCCTCCCGTATTCAACCGTTATACAGCCGAGAAAACCTCCACGACTTGAGCCCAAGTCAAAGTTGAGATGATGTCCAACTTTGCGTCGCGCCGGCGTGCATTGTTAAGCGATGGCATCCACGAACTGTCCAAAAACTGGCAAGGATCTCTCAATAACATTGCTGTATAATTTTGATCTTGTACGCCTCTCTGTAAAAAGAAAGTCTAATTTGGAAAAATGTGACAGAACTTTCCCGCCAACCTAATAGATGGTTTTCAAGTACGCAATATCCTGAAATATCATTTTTCAGAGAAAACGTTCGACGTTGCTTTACACTGAATCTGTATCGATGCACGATGATCGTCGTGAACATATGTCATATACTAGCTATTGTTATCGTCACACGAAATATCATGGCCAGTAAAGACGGTGGACGCCCCATAGTGGTCAAAAATGAAACTGCTTAGTTATTGTCTTCATTTCAAATTTTTTCATCTTCTTTCGTTTCCATGGGAGTTGTCTCATTGCGATCGATCGATAATGCTAAGCTATGCTTGATTATGACAGGAATGAGGAACGCTGCATGTGAGTTGGTGGTAGTTGAAGGATTCGCCGCGGTCGCGCGTATAAGTTATGCTATTGTGATCTACAGGGAAGGGGCATGAATATTGTGACAAAAGAATAATTTTCTATTACCTACATGACTAGTCAGAATAACTCAAGGATAGCAATAACAATATCTCAGCAACATGGGAGAGGCTTCGACTGTTCCCCGGATGGCATCGTGCGGAATTCAGGGCACGTGCTGCTGTCGATGTAGCGGAAAATTTTTGTAACACGACTCTCTCGGTAGAGATCCCCAATGTACGACATGCCCTGGCAGGATTGCAATCCATTTTTTCCAATGATAGCGTGGAGCGGTCCAACTGAAACATGCCGATTTGGACAGGTATATTTTACTCCAGAATCGACCAAGTAGAATAATGGATTAAAGATATAGGGCACGAAAAATTGGTACATGCGCAAAAAATAGCAGGGATGCCATACAGTGGGAAGACATAATAACGAAGAAAAGCTAACTTGAACGGTCAAAACGTGCGAAAAAGCCCTTGTTCTGCACGGAATTGAACGAGCATTTTTAGATGAGCTTTTAGCTGGCATCGTGCCAAGAATCGCTTTGACAGATAACTGAGCGTATGTATTCATATATCCATATAACAACGCTTCATATCAGTCTGTTTCATGGATAAGCTACAATACTACCAGCGTCGATGTGACTACCCGGGCTTTTTTAGGCGGGCTGTTGTAGTGGGCCTTAGGGTAGGTCGGCATGCTGCACCCTTGTTAGGCGCTACAACGATGCCCTTGGTTGGAAAAGGCGCCACGCAACGTTTATTGAAAGGCAAATATTCTTTCCTGCTAGGCGCATCGACCCTGTATGCATTGTCGATTTATCGAGCCACATGCCTTTGAGCTAGTATCTAGGAGGCTAGTAGGAGAAGTGAATGGACCTTTTTTCTCCAACGCGAAGTCAAATTCAATCCACGCCAATTTTGCACTATTTGCACCGTTTACACCCCGAACCACTGAATGAGTGCTGTAAATGACAAATTTTTCCGAGGAACACAGTCAAGCGCATCTTTGCTTAAGAGACCAATTCCTCTGTTGCAAGTCCTTGCCATTGAGGTTACAAAATGAGTTCGAATGTGCTGAAGCTGTACCTGAATGAAGCGAAAACCCGTTGAGTTGCTCCAGATAAGGTCCCGCTACTTTTCTTCGACGAGCATGAGGTCAGTAAAGACGCAGAGACGCAAGGCGAGCAGGTGACAGATCGGACAGCCGCGGGTGAGGGATACATACGGTCCGCCATTTCGTAATTAACAGATGGGCGGAGAAGTGGGTTGATTTACTCGTTGGTGCGCCCCTCTCTTTAGTACAAGATAAGTGGCACCCAACGAAGAAGGAATCTGTGAATCCTCGCCCATCACCAAAATGCATCACTAGGCTACAGGAGATCTCAGAGAGCAGGCTGAATTTGCCGCCAAATCGAGATAAACTGACTGAAAGGATAGAATTGTGAAAGCAGTAAAATATGTGCCATAGAAAAACTATGGGTGATTCGGATGCCCAGCGAAGGTCACATAAGTCCTTGCTAATCGCCGTTCCTTGAGCCTAATCTTGTTACAATATTTATGCCCAACTCTGTAATGCCGAGAAGCCACAACATCGTGCGACCGCGCCGCATTCCTTGACCGCCCGGTCTACGATTGACGAAGAATTGTAGGTTTTAGCGTGATCCGATCGCTTAGATGATGAATTGTGTCCGAAGAGGGAAATTGTTACAGATCATCACCGCCATTTCATGTTTTTTTTGTTTTGTTCATATCAAATCGTAGTTAAGTGTTCGATGGGTAATATACCGTACAGGTAAAGAATGATTGTATTCAATTGTGAATCAATAATCAACAGCCTTTTCTATGTATGTCAGCTCAGTGCTAATGAGAAACTGCCCTGTAACTCTGATTTTCGTTTTCAGTGGCCATCACTTTTTGAGAGAATCGTTAAAGCATGATACTGATTTTTTTTTGCTTGTGCTTTGCACTGGTTACGGTGAGGACGGCGTGAAAGGCGCTCTAAGCGGGTTCATACGCGCGGCAGTCGCACCAGAGCAGACTGATTCAGAATGTAAGCTAGAAAACACTCTAGTAATTCTTTCGCTATGAAGCACCACGCAAAGAGACAAACATGGTGTCAGTGGCCAAGCCAGGCCATTTACAAGCACTTCTGGTAGGTACTGGTGCCCAAACTAACAAAAGCAATAAGAATTTATGGACACGATGTAATAGCAATCACAACAGAATTCAGTGAACATAACTGACTCTACTTCATTGGATATACAGTCGTATCAGCTCACTAGTAGTGGCAGGGAGTCCCGTGACAGGACACCTAAATCATAGTGAAATTCATTTCTTGGACAACAGCATAAGAAACCATTAGCTAATCCAAAAACAATAAATAATGATTAAATTTCAGTGCTAACTAATGTATGTTTCCCCTTTAGCCATGGTACCATGTCGTGGATGTGTATGTGACAAGATAATCCTAATATGTCGCGCTAATGGGCGTGGCGAGCGACGCCGCGCTCGACGGACGAGCGGTACTGCCTGGCCGTTTGAGCGGAATTGTTAAACGAACGGAGAATCTATGGTCTTAGAGTCTCGTGTTGCCTTAAACACTTGTGCGTTTCGCTGCTCTGACAAACTGATGCATATCGGGAATGTGCCGCACATCGCCGCATCACACGTCGCGCGCGGCGACGCGACAAAGTGCGACTGCCTTGTCCGTCTATCTTCGTGGATTAGCATAGGGCACACCATTTCCCCAACCCATATTTTAGGTCTTATTGTCAGCGATGTGACCTGTTACGAGACGGTAGCGACACTAAGTTTTGCCTAGAGATGACAGTAGGCCCCAGCGCATCGACAACAGTTGCCTCACTTAGCGTATGGGCGGGGCTGTCCGACATTGTATGAGCCCCCACATCGATGTACGTATTCACCTTCCCAAGTACACTGCAGCCCTCTTCACTATGCCGAAGTTGGAGTATGGGAATTCACAGGGTAGCCCAGCCTGCTCATCGAGAACTCTCGTTCATTTGAAGCTGAAATAGACAATGTTGATATAGAAAATAACGACTGAACCCCTTCCGATCTCGTCCTCTGTTCCCCCATTGCGCTAAAAGGACCCCAGGGTGCAGAATGAAGCGCATCACAGCTCTGAAGCAAATGTCATACAGATTCTTGAAGACTGCGTACAAAACAAGGTCGTGGAGGATCCGTGTGTCAAAAACTAACGGGGTCTCATTCTTGAGGGATCTTTGGACCGCACGTTCATTACAAAACGGAAACTAACCTTCTGAAGTTTTTGACATGTGAATCGATGCATGTGAAGCAAAACACATATCCAGACACTGATAACGCTGTGTCATTTCTTCTTCTATTGAGGCATAAGGGACATTTGTTCGTATCAAGCAGTTGGACACTGGATTCCGTTAGAAGCTGAACAAAGGCTGCACTTGG